TCCTGTAAAATACTTTTACTCAGTTTCCTTTCGGATTCAAGCTGCGCTGAGAAAGCTGGCCTCGGAGGGCTTGGCAATGCATTGCCTTGACAATGTCGACAGTCAGGTCAGACATACTGAAGAAATAAAAAATAATGTCGAGGTGACACTCAGGCTGGCAGCAAAGCTACGAACGGAAAATATACACTGCTGAAGCACGATCCGTTGTCTGGAAGAGCACCAAAAAGAAACACTGCTGAAGAATGATCCGTTGTCTGGAAGAGCACAACAGGGCAAGCAAGATTTGTTTTTCTTTTGAGCAAAATGGGCTGGTGCCATTTGTGATTACGCAGCAAAACATAGCGCATGACGTCAGTCTTGAATGCAGGTGTGTGTGTGCGTGCGCGCGCGTGCATGTGTGCGTGTGCTGTATGCACTTGTGTGTGCACGAGTGTGTATCTTACACACCGTTCACTTCTCAAACAACAATAGGCCAATAATTCGCCATATAAAAGTCTAACACTCAATCACTTTCATGTCTCTCTCTTGGACACGATATTATTATAAGTACATTGTATATTCTGCAGTCAGCACATCAAATTCAAAATACATGGTAAAATTATGTGTATGTGTGTTCGCGTACGCGCGAATGAGAGAGAGAGAGAGACAAAGACAGAGAGACAGACAGACAGATATTGCCTGTAAGCGCCCTGTCAACCAGGCCAAAACGGCTCTTCTTCATTGTCTCTGGCATCTTCAAATCCTTTGTACTGCTGTGATGGATCTGGGAAAGTTTCTCTAATGGCTGTTGCAATGCAACGTCAACATAACTGTTTGCTTCTAGCTCATGCTAGGTGTTCACCCCCCATTTCTCACATCACATCATCTTCCATACCATAGATTGGAACATATAGCTCTGCTCCTCCTATCCGGCCATTGGCTTCACTTGTTCCCGCTCATTTCAAGTCAGCTATGGCTCCCCATTAGCCAGCTGCTGTACATAGCTTGATATTTCACTTTACAACTATCCTAATTGTAGTGCAGGGATTCGCGAGCTAGTTGTAAGCAGCGGTGTGGCATTGCTTTCAAGCTTGTTGAACATTTGCATTACAATACAAATTACTCAAAGCAGCACACTGTCTCCCAAAAAGGTCGTTGTTGTCTGGGATAAGTTTGAGGGTGTGAGGTATAGGGTAAGAACTTAAAAATAGCCTCAAAAATACACCCAACCCTCTGCTGCCACTGAAAGCCAATTCATAAGCTCAGCCCAGATGCTTTCAATGAACACAAAAACGGCGCATCAATGCCATAAACGAGTTTTCTCCCGGTGTGGGTTGGTAGATTGGTTTTGTTCAGGACAAGAAAGGACGCCACTGCAAAGTGAACCAACCAAATTCGGCTGAGAAGATGTTAGGTTCGGTAGACAAGCGACAAGTAGTTTATTGGTTAGAATACACGAAGTAGAAAAACTGAGAAAATACAATCTGTAAACGACAGAGAAGACTCTCAAAGAAATGCGTGCGTGCATACACAGTAGAGCTAAATTTGTACGACATTACGTCATAACACAACACCAGTGTTCTACTATACTTGCACATCAGATCAAGTTCAGTGTTCTAAACAGTACCTATTGTAGCACTGATTGTGATGTGCCAATAGACCCTTTGCACAATAAAGGTCACGTGATCCGAGACGGGGCATCCTCTTCGATTTTTGTGCGGAGTATCAGTTGTTGAGCATTGTGAAACACTGTATTTTTCCATTTTGGAGATGGAGGAGAGAGTGTCGAGGGGTTTGCCATCGATGGCTGTGGCACCCGTGGACGAACTGTCAAATGAAGAATGGTGTGTGAATGAACTGAACAGTTTTCTGCTGAATGAGGGTGCGTATCTGTCTGGAAAAAGAAGGAGTTGTTGGAGCGGTACGTTTTCCGCGTTCAGTGGATAAAGGTTTCGGATTACTGTGGATTGAATTTATTTTTATTTTCTCTACCTTCTCTCCTCTTTCGATGTAGAGAACACTTCTCTATGCAGAACCCTGATGCTCCTAGAACTAAGAAGGGCACCACTTCCTCAGTCATCGTGCCCAACATTTCATGCGTCCTAGTGGATGAGTGATGAACCTCTGTTTCTCAGAGTGAGTGCTGTAGGCATGCAAGAAGCCAGACTAAGCACACGGAAAGAATAGACAACTAGCCATTGTGTCTCTCAGATTCTTCATCTGTAAAACCAGCTCAACAGCAGCATATGGCCAAGAGCATTACGCAATGCACTGTTACCATGACTGTGCACATCAGTACTACAGCCGTGATGTACAATGCATGACTACCACATTACCCCCTTCCCTAAGAAAAAAATTGTCTGCAAATGCAAACCTGTTTGAGAAAAAAAAGGAGAGAAAAAAGGAAAAAGAAAAAAGAAAAAAGGAGAAAATGGCAGACAAGAAAAAAACAATAAAATTGCAGAGGAAACGAGCAAAGAATCAATTCAAAGCAACAAATTCGATACACCCTGACACTGACGGGTCAACTCACTGAAGATACATCAAACCTGTAACACGATACAAACAGAACAAACCAAACCAGCAACTAAATCGCAAATTGGCATAGTTATGCAACATGGTCAGTCAAAATGGAGATATTACATCAATGCACCAGCAGCTTTCTCAGTGAGCTTGACAGTGCGGCCAGCGCGGGTTACATAGCCCTCGCGATAGAGCGAGCCAGACTGGGCATCAGGCCGTGGTAGGCGTGATTGACGACATGATTGGTCACTGGACTCGGGATGAATCTGAGCATCGGCCTCTTTGATCTCAGATTTCACTCCTGCTTCACACGGAGCAGTAGGCGTAGCAGGCGGCACATCTGCATTAGGTGCCGAGGATTTCACTTCTGACTCTGTAGCTGGCTGGGGATCTGGCGTCGGAACTGGCTGGAGATCCAAAGACCGAGAAGAGGTGGCAGTTGATGACGCAGGTGAAGCATGCTCTCGCACATGCTGCCGATTTCGGAGCAGTATCCGCCTGCCATCAGTGACGCCGACTTGTCTGCCATATTGCTCCACAACACGCCAAGGGGTAGTTGGGTCGGAATAGCCATCCTGCAAGACTACCATTGTGCCGGGACGCAGCATAGGCAACTGGCGGACACCGCGGCGACTATCATGCGAGACTGCCATGTCAGCTTTGGCGCGAATCTGATGAGAAGCATTCACAATGCGTGGGGTAGAATGGTGAGGTAGACGGGTGTGAACCATGCGACCGAAGAAAGCCTCATTGGGTGACATGCCCAGCATTCGGTGCACTGAGTTGCGAATATCAAAGAGAACTTGTTCCAAACGGCGTTGCAAAGACAGGGACGGTCGTAGAGATTGAATTCTCTCTTTGACGACTCGATGAAGACGTTCCACCATGCCATTAGATCTGGGGTAGTGTGGGCTTGATCGATTGTGCTGGATACCCAACCTCTGCAGGAACTGGGCCATTTCGGCTGAGGCAAACTGGGGGACCATTGTCGGACACCAACACGCTAGGCAGGCCGAACCTCGCGAACACTTCCATCAGCCGGCCAATGACAGCTGCGGTTGTGGTAGCTGACAAGGGAAGTAGCTCCGGATAGCGTGAACCGTAGTCGACGATGGATAATACTTGCTGACTCTCGATACACACCAGATCAACCGCCAGTTTCTGCCACACTCCTTCAATTTCTGATGGCAGCAGCTCTTGTGCGGGGTTAATATGGTGGCGCCAACACTCTGAACACTGCTCGGCGAACTTGTCGGCATCTTTAGACATGTCAGTCCACCATACTCGTCGTCGCAAAGCATTCTTGAATATGTCTCGACCTGGATGACCTTCATGGGCCAACTGCAGTACGGCATGTCGGAGAGCTTCTGGTATTACACAGCGGTTACCGAATAGCAGGATGCCGTCAATGGTTGTCAGCTGATCTCGGATAAGGTAGTATGGCTCTTCAGCGGGTGTGACTTGGGACCATGATTGCATCAAGACGCGCTGCTGTATGATGCGCAACAGTGGGTCATCACTAGTCGCCTTGGCGATATCGTCGATATTGACTGGGCACTCTTCCAAGACCAGGCCAATGAACTCAGCCATAGAGCGGGCTTCTTCTGGTGAGGCAGTTGAGTCTTGGACAGGTGCTCTTGACAATGTGTCTTCACACACCATCTGCTTCCCAGGTGCATGTGACAAGGTGTACTGGTATGGCATGAGAGCGACCATCCAGCGCTGCAGCCGTGGTGGTACTTCGTGAAACGGCTTCTAGACGATTGAGATCAGGGGCTTGTGGTCGGTCACAACTTGAACAGATCTCCCCAGGACGTACTGTCGGAATCGAGTCAGAGAGAATACCAAGCATCTCGCGCTAATAACGAGGAATAACGAGATTCAACATCGGACGATGAACGGCTGGCGCAGGTGACAGGTAACCAAGTGCCACTCTTGTCTTGCTGCCACAGAATAGCACCCAGACCAAGTGGAGATGCGTCACATGTTACCTTGGTTGGGACGTCCAAGGATGGCTTAAAGTACGCTAAGCACTCTAGCGACGAGGCCACGGCTGTCTTCGCATCGGTGAACGCGGCCGTCAGCTCATCATCAACGACGAATGGTTGTCGCTGAGCCAGTTTCCTCAGCGGCTCAGTTGTCTGTGTGAGCTGCGGTATGAATTTACCAAGGTACGTCACCATACCAAGGAAACGACGTACATCTGTCAACGTCTGCGGCAGCTGCAACTGTTGGATTTCCAGCAGCTTGCCACCGTCAGGACGCACACCATCCTTGCTCAGCCAGTGTCCCAAGTACTTGATTTCTGACTGGCGTACGCGACACTTCTCCCAGTTTAAGCGCAGGTTGGCTTCGCTCAAACGACGGAGTACGGCAGCCATGCGCTCGTCGTGTTCCTGTCGGTTGCGGGCATAGATGAGAATGTCATCAATATAGACAACGACTCCCGGTAGGCCGGCAAGGATGTCAGACACCACACGTTGAAATATCTCCGGTGCTCAAGCAATGCCAAACCGGAGTCTCTTGAATCTAAAGAGGCCCTTGTGAGTGGCGAAAGTTGTGAACGGACGAGATTCATCGGCCAAAGGGAGCTGGTGAAAGCCAGATTCAGCATCCAGAACGGAGAACACTGTTGCACCGTCCAGCTGCGCATTGATTTCGTCAACGGTGGGAAGAAGGTGACGCTCCCGGACTACGCTCTTGTTTAGGACGCGGTAGTCCACGCAGAGACGCAAAGCACCGCTTGATTTCCTGACCGGCACCAACGATGAGACCCACGGAGTAGCTTCTCGCACTGGCTCGATTATGTTATGCTTCACCAGACGATCCAACTCCTTGGCAATTTCATCCCGGATGCTGAAAGCGTGCCGACGGGGTGGGAGTGCGGTTGGAGTGGTGTCAGGGTCCACTGTGATAGAGATGGGCGTCACGTTCACCACATTGATTTCGGCAGAGGTCAGCAACTCCAGTTCGGAGATGACGTCCTGGCCATACAGGATTTGGCGGCCAGACGCGACTGGGACAACAAAACAACTACATACGATGCTGCGTGATCCAACAGAGACCGTCACATCAGCCATACCGAGTGTCGAGATGACGCCGCCATTGTCCGCTTTCGAGATTCGATCACTCTTTCGCGTTGGCTGGACAACATCATCGGTTAGCACTGATCGGGTAGCACTGGTATCCAGTAGTCCTTCACCGGGACGGCCGTTGACGATCAGCGTCTTACGAAACAATTGCTGGTGCTGAGAAGTATTCACTGAGAATGCGTAATCACAGAAATAGTTGGCGTCATCCTCCTCCACCTGTTCGGATGTCATGCGCGCATTATCAGACTTGCGCGACAGGCATACTGTTGTAAAGTGGCCGACTTTCGAGCAGTTGCCACAAGTAGCATCCGCTGCAGGGCAATGCTGCTTGCCTCTTGGATGCGAGCGGCCACAGTACTTGCACTTCCCAAACTTCTTGTGCGCAGAGGCAGGCTGGGAGTGTGAAACACGGTGAATGTGAGAGAATGAATTCGACAATGGAGTAGCTGCAGCGTCACCATAAAGCTTGCTGTCCGTGATAGAGGACTCGAGTGTCACAGCTTTGCTCACAGCATTGGCTAGTGTCAACTTTGACTCTTTGAGAAGTTCTTTACGTAGCTCCTGGGATCGCAGGCCCTCGATCAACTGTTCACGGATTTGTCCCTGATCAATGGTGTCCACGGCAGTAGACGCAAATTCACAGCGATCAGCTGCTTCGCGCAGGCGTCCCACAAACGATGTGACGGACTCACCCTCATTCTGGCGAAGCTGACGGAACCGGTGGCGCTCCGACGTTGTGTTTGTGGCAGGACGAAAATGAGCAATCACAGCATCCGTCAGAGCTTTGTACTCACATCCGGCACTGCCATCGGCCTGAGCTGGCGGAGTAGGAACTACGATTCCTTTAACAATACGCCTGACAGCGAGGCCTGCAAGGTTCAGAAACAGCCTCTTCTTATCAGCTGCCGTCGTAACTCCACAAATTTTCAGGTAATCATCAACGTCCTCGAGCCACAATTCGAAATCGGCTCCGATGTTGCTGGAAAAGTCAGGTACAAATTCCTTCGGCGCTCTGCCTTTGGGAGCGGACATGGCGACAAATCCGTGCCTGTTCACTGCGCCAATGTAGGCATGCAAGAAGCCAGACTAAGCACACGGAAAGAATAGACAACTAGCCATTGTCCCTCTCAGATTCTTCATCTGTAAAACCAGCTCAACAGCAGCATATGGCCAAGAGCATTACGCAATGCACTGTTACCATGACTGTGCACATCAGTACTACAGCCGTGATGTACAATGCATGACTACCACAAGTGCCACACCAGGCTTGCTCATCTCTAACGCAGGGGCAAGTCGCCGACGACAGTGAATAGGGAGCTGATGGAGTAGTTCTAGTGAACAAGCCCGTGGGTAGTGTCCATGAGTTTTACTTTGGTGGCTATGTGCATAATGTGAAAGTCTGTCATATCGTGCACACAGCCACAGCTCGAACTCAGATGACTTTCTCCGCACGCCGGAGCGGTGAGGCTGCGTCTCTCTGCACTTCAACATCAGCAGCTCGAGCAGAGCCAGCAAACATGCTGATGTCGATCATACCAATTCGCACACGAATCCGCGTTACTCTTGCTGCAACGGCACGGAGTTGAACGGCCTTGGTACTATGTCCAAGTGTAGTCTCCAGGTTGATTATCAAGATTGTTTTTGACAGTTTAGCGCATTTTCACGATGAAATAGCTCTCCCCCAGAGCAATACAATTCGGTGACGAGATGTCCAGCTCATTGTTCAGGGATGGTGGTGATCGATCTGCTGTGGAAAAGAGTCGTACTCCGCGTCTACCCTCAAGCAACGAGAGTTTCTTCTCCGTCCTGTCGAGGATATTCTTCTGAACGATCTTCGTGTTGGTCAGGAGTCCGGTGAAGGATTCCGGAGCTTGTGGTGAGTATATCTCCTGTGCCATTCTTGCGAGTCACATTATAATAGGGGCAATTTTTTTAACGATCCAATATCCAGTGTCTTGCGAAAGTCGTTCATTATCGCTATCAATCGTTGATGCTCCTTAGTTAGTGAGCTTCCCATCTTCCAGAGTGATGCCCAATTCCAACATGTACGCGTCTTCAGCTCTCTCCATCTGCTGCAGTTGTTCAATACACGTGATAAGCTGACGTTTGGTGTCGAGAACGTGTTTGCCTATGCATGCCATGATCACGCCGATGATCGTGCTACTGATGGCGATGATTCGAATGCGATTTTCTCCAGATACGACACCACTCCCTTGAAGAATGTTGAGAATTGTTTGACTGAATATGAGAAAGGACAAGATTGCGGTGTTGTAAATCATGTACTTCTCCAGGCAACGCACTTTTTCGCTCTCCAATTCTTTTCGTTTTGCTATATCCTCCACCATGTCTCGCACGTGACGGACACGAACATCTGGAAGATCCATCTAAGTCGTGTTCGTGATTCGAAGATCAAGGTAGACGGGGTATCCGGAAGTGATGTATTCACCGGTGTTGAATTTCAACCAAAACGAAATTCTAGTCACGTTTTTGTGTGGAAGCAGCATTCGCTTGTCTTCTTTTCCAAACACATAGTTATTCACACCATTGAGGGGTTGAATGAGAAAGGTCTTCAACACCCTCGAATCAGTGTTGTCTTCGTACTTCACAGCAGATGCAATTAGGTCGGTGTAGAGCAGAACAAGTCGTCTGTCTTTTGTCAGATCCAAAGCGAATGGGAAAGTGTGAGATCCCACGATCGTGTATGGCTTGAGAATAGTGCCCACTATTCGTGTCGGGGTCCCAACGCATCCCAACACTCAACAGAATACTATCCGTTATAGTTACATTACATTATTCTACTGAAACGGAAAGCCATCTTTGTCTCCAACCAAAGCAACAACTCGCTGTTACTCCACCACTATGCTCTCTATCTCTTCCAGCTAGCACGCCAGCACACTCGCACATGCACTGAGCCACAACTATCAACAAGGAATCAAGAGTTGAAATATTGAAATAGTGGTAAAGTTGGGAGAAAAGAAAACTGTTCTTTTTCCACGAGATCCAAGATCCATCAGGAAAAAGGACATGCACAAAATGGCGACCATGTCGTCCATTGACGCGTAATCATGGTAATCACAAACTAGTGCAGCGACCAAAGAAAAGACACAAGTGAAGAAGAAGAAGAAACACCGCTGCAGCAAGAAGATCGGATCGCTGCAGTCGCTAAAATGCACTAGCCTACTGACTGTAGTTCCAAGTGAGCATGCAGTCACGTGGTCATAAACAGAGTGCGTACCCACTCACGTCATACCGATACGTCATACATGACAAAAGAAAAGAAAGGAAAGTCACGCGCGAGTCAAACAAATCAAAGAGCGCGAGACTACGTACTGCAAATACTACGAAGAATTTGTTTGATAACAAATGCACAAGACGAGGAATTTGTTGAGAACAATTGGACAAGAATATATATCTCTTCGAAACTAGAATGGAGTCCGTGATGAGAATTCCAACGAGCCTGGACGCAGCTACAAAGTAAGAATACAATCAAATAACTAATATCGTCAGAACTATTGTAACAATACAAGCAGTTGATTTACCACTGTGTTATCTTTATATTTACACCAGTCCCCCAGGTAACACAGTGTCAATCGATGTAACGACTCGGGCGTTGGATATGACGACGGTTACGCAGACTACGATCGGCGACAGCCAACGGCTCAACATCGAGATCACACTGCACGGGCGACGCAGGCGCAGATCCAGACTCACACGACAACACAGATTCAGCAGCAGGTTTAATCAACTGAATGTTAACAGTCTTTTGTTGATCAAAGCCATCCACAGAACGACACACACGCACGGAACCAGGACCAAGGATCTCGGTGACCTTCCACCCAGCTTCGAACGGTGGCAAGCGCTTCTGCGAACGAGCAGGGTGACGGAGCAACACAGCATCACCGACAGCATATGGATTGGAAGCGCTGCCCTCAACAAAATCATGAGACGACAACTCAGCTTCGACAAAGTCACGAATACGAGCGGACCGACCAGCAAGGCTGTCCACCCAATCACTAAGGCTAGAACCAACAGCAGACTCGTCAACAGTTAACTGACGTGGAAGCCATCCACACATAGCTTCCATTGGGGACACACCAATCGCGGCATGGAGTCGCGTACGGTAGTAGTGCAACAGCACAGGCAACTCAGACTTCCAATCACTCGAGGAGTCGAGCATCTTGCGAATGAGGGTCAACAAAGTGCGATTAAATCGCTCAGCAGAACCCTGAGACTGGGGATGCCGAACTGCACCAGTACGCACCTTCGTGCCAAACACACGAAACAATGACTCGACAATGCCATTCACAAATTCAGTACCATTGTCCATACGAACAACTTCTGGGGAGCCCCACTTCAAACAAACATCGGTCACAGCTTCAGCAACTGACTGACCATCATGCGCACGTAGGGGAACAACCTCGACCCATTTAGTAAACACATCAACAATCACAAGAACACAATGAAAACGCCCACTGCGGTCAGAACCAAGTTCAAGAGTATCAATAACAATCTCCTGCCAAGGCTTACCGGGCAAATCTGGGCGAGCGGGATCAGCCGTCGGACCACTCTTACTACTGGCGGAAACACAAGCTTGACAATGCCGGACAAACTCAAGGCACAACGACGACATACAAGGGAAATAGCACTTAGAACGAAGCAGATCATACATCATTCGCCAATTACCATGGCCAGAATTCACATGAACAGAAGAGACGACAGCATGTTGCAAAGACGTAGGAATAACTGGTACAGACACCAAACCATCAATAGGCAACTTGATACTACGCACTAACATACCATCATCAACAAGCAATTGATCACGCACCTTTATGAACTCAGGAATGGAGACCAACTCACCACACTCCAATTGAGCAACAGCAGCTCGAATGGTGGGATCCACCTTCTGGCCTTCACGTATCTGAGCAAACGTGACAGGGCCAACCACAGACAGGCAGGCGGCCACAACATCAGTCGGTGCAAGAGCCTTTGCATACTTGATCCAGTCAGTCGGGACACGCGTCAGCTGATCAGCACGGTTCTCGTTCGTCGGAATCCACACGACCTCGATCGTCAGACCTAGCGTAGCGATGAGATCATCGATGATCTGGAGGCGACGACGCACAAGCAGCTCTTGCAGACCACCAGTCTTCACACGTTTGGAGTTGGTTACTACTTGCGTCAGCCATGCTGCCACTGTCTTAGAGTCAGTCAACAGCTTGAAACGGGAAACTCCCCACTTAGCGGCAAGGGAAATGCCTTCGACAGCGGCTTCCAATTCAGCAATATTAATATGCCGCTTGTCGTCAGGCTTACGAAGCCACGAACCATCCTCGACAATGTCACCACCGACCTCCAACGCCACGCCGACAGCAATATCAGACGCATCGCACCACACCTGGCATTGGCTTTCACCGTTGGGGTCTACGTGCCACACACCGGTAGCAGGATCGTGCTGGCTTAAACGGCTGGCGAGACTCATGCAGCGCTGAACGAGATCTGCAGGCAACGGGTCGTCCCAGCCAAGCTTCTCCAGACATGCCAAACGCTTCAGCCAACTACAATGAGGACGAAGCCATGACGCAACAGGGTAGTGGCTCGTCAACTGGCCACACCACTTGTAGAGCTCACGTTTCGTCGTGACATCAGCAAATGCGACATGCGACTCATCACGCCGGGACCAGCGCACTCGACCATCATCAGACTCGTTGAGCTGCAGTCCTAGAACCCGTGCAGCCGACATCTCCAAAGCAGGCTTAGTTGGCAGGCTGTAGCTAGCGAGCTGTTCTGTCAACACAGTCCGTTGACTCTTGGGGACAATGATGTCGTCGACATAGTTATCTGTATCGGGCAAGCTGCCGGTAGCGTACTTGATGATGGTGTCCATGAACTTCGGCGCCACACTCAGGCCAAACGCCATGCGCGTCATCACGTAGCGAACACCACGCCACTCGACAACTTGGAACCGTAGCAATTCCGGGCTGACATGGATTTGCAAGTACGCCTTGGTAATGTCCACTAACTCAAATTCATCAGCTTCACCCTTGAACCTCCACTGGCGCAACGTCTCGGCGCACACAGGCGACTTAGTGCCAGGGTGGGACACCAACAGCTTATTCAGGTGGCGATAATCTAACACCGGACGCACAGGTGTAGACGTCTTGTGCGGCTGACTCACAGCCATCAATGGCAAGACACAGGCAGGGCGACCATGGGTCTCAGCGTCGTGCTTCACCAGCCAGCCTCGCTCAATCCACTCATCTACAGCAGAGCAGAATTGCGTCTCCTCTGCCGCGGTAATTTTCTTCCGAGGGTACTCGCTGATACCAGGACCAACACGGCCATTGGGTTCTTCACCAGACTTCCATACCCACTTGACCTCCCAACGCTTCTCAGCCGACATCCAACGCATCTCGCCGTCATCAACCTTCAGGATGACATCGTTGCCGTGAGTCTCTACATGGACATGATGCGACAGCTTCGATGGCGGGCGCGTTGGAGCTGCAGACATTGGCGAGTCATCGGCGACTGGCTGGAGAACTTCTTTGTCAGCACTAGGGGTCATACTGTCGGTCAGCTGATCCTCATACACTTGTACACGTGTAGGGTGGCCAGGAGGCGGCACAGCTGCTGATGCTACTGACACCGACGGGCAACTATCTGCATGGGCTGGACCGGGCCCAATTACGACACGCACAAGCTGATCATTAGCATACTCTACAGACAGGCGCCCACACAAGGTCACCAGGTCAATGCCAATCAGTACATCGGCGGCCACTACACATAAATCAGGCACAACGACAGCATTCAATACCACTTCATGAATGCTCACCGGTCCGTCGTGTCTCCAAAACTTGAGGGCCACTGTGCCACACGTCTGCATGGTGTTGCCATCCAGTGCTACGATGCCGTCATTATTGGTCAATGGCGTCACATCAAGACCGAGGCGATGCAGCAGGGCTTCTGTCACTAATGTGCGAGTGGATCCAGTGTCTATCACAGCTGCAGCACGCACACTGTTACTCGCGTCAGGACCAGCACATTCAACAAACACACGAGGTAGCTTCGGGCACGATGGCGATGCAGATGCCAGGAGGCACACGTCCTTGGAGTGCACCGAGGCCCCAGCAACTTCTGAGCTAGCCTGTGTATCCAGCCACTTCTTCCTCAGCAAGCAGTCCTTCTTGACGTGCCCTTTCTTGTCACAGAAGTGGCAGAACGGGTCCTTGCGCCGGTGCTCTTGCTTGGCCGCGTGACCATTCCCTGCTCGGGATAACTTCGGGCAATGCCTTTTGAAATGGCCCGGTTCTCCACAATGGTGGCAAAGCCGCGGTGATGGCGTGGCAACACTGTCTTGCACATATGTGGCAGCTGCGGACACTGCACCAACTCTGGTGCCGGTTGCTGATCGCAGTGCCCGGATCCTATCAAGGCATTCAGACACCTTCAGGTCCCTGCCTGCCATGGACAAACGGACATCCTTGGCAAACTCAATTGGCAATCCGGCCAACAGCTGCTCGATCACCACAGGATCGGTATCGCTGTCACTCTTATGTCCAGACAGCTCTAACAGACGGCACAGCTCGGCAACATATACCTCTGGACTTTCATCCACTTTCAGCTGCCGCTGCTTAAACAAGCGGTACGCCTCACTGCGGCTCACGCAGAAGGACTTCCGCAGGATGCTCCTCACTGCATCCTTATCTCGCTTCTCCGTCTCACTCAGTTTTGAGAACACACGGTGGGCTTCGCCCTCCAAGAACAGCGGCAACCGTTTCATCTGTTGCTCCGTGCTTGTCCACCCCGATATATCTGCCAGTACTTCAAACTTCGACCAAAACATGTCAAAGTCGTCCACTCGGCCACGATACGGCTTCACGAATCCATCCAACTTAAGTGACGACATTTCTCTGTTGACAGAAGACGCACTGTCACTAACACTAGTATGATCAGCACCACCTTCACTGTGCCTGGATACCACGGATGTACTATCCTCAGGACTCCCAGGAGTCAACAAATTTTCAATGTCACGATCACTATGTCCAGGCGCCTGTGGAGTTGTCGGTGTGCTACTGATACCCCTGCCTCGAGCGTTCCTAAGTCTAGGAGGCATCGACTACCAGGCCACAACAGCACGCTTCGTCAGCACTCTACCAGTGCTCAGCGAACAACACACGACACGTGAACGATCGATCCGGACACAATTTACGAATTCAAGAAAATTCCAATTCGAAACCACGCTCGTATTCTCCGGTCCAAACCAGCGGGGTTTCGGCACCACGTTGTTACTCCACCACTATGCTCTCTATCTCTTCCAGCTAGCACTCCAGCACACTCGCACATGCACTGAGCCACAACTATCAACAAGGAATCAAGAGAGTTGAAATATTGAAATAGTGGTAAAGTTGGGAGAAAAGAAAACTGTTCTTTTTCCACGAGATCCAAGATCCATCAGGAAAAAGGACATGCACAAAATGGCGACCATGTCGTCCATTGACGCGTAATCATGGTAATCACAAACTAGTGCAGCGACCAAAGAAAAGACACAAGTGAAGAAGAAGAAACAGCGCTGCAGCAAGAAGATCGGATCGCTGCAGTCGCTAAAATGCACTAGCCTACTGACTGTAGTTCCACGTGAGCATGCAGTCACGTGGTCATAAACAGAGTGTGTACACACTCACGTCATACCGATACGTCATACATGACAAAAAGAAAAGAAAGGAAAGTCACGCGCGAGTCAAACAAATCAAAGAGCGCGAGACTACGTACTGCAAATACTACGAAGAATTTGTTTGATAACAAATGCACAAGACGAGGAATTTGTTGAGAACAATTGGACAAGAATATATATCTCTTCGAAACTAGAATGGAGTCCGTGATGAGAATTCCAACGAGCCTGGACGCAGCTACAAAGTAAGAATACAATCAAATAACTAATATCGTCAGAACTATTGTAACAATACAAGCAGTCGATTTACCACTGTGTTATCTCTATATTTACAACCCACATTCATACACATGTTGATGCACACACACCCTTGCACGCACACACACACACACTCATGCATGCATGCATGCACACACACACACAAACACACACACACACACACACAAACACACACACATCCAAAAACACACACACACGCACAACCCTCAGATCCCAGATCTCAGACCTGCCCATCGCAGAAGCAATGGTAAAGAACAGCTACGTTAGACACAGCAACTAGTGATGGGATAACACACACACACACACACACACACACACACACACACACACACACACACACACACACACACACACACACACACACACACACACACACACACACACACACACACACACACACACACACACACACACACACACACACACACACACACACACACACACACACACACACACACACACACACACACACACACACACACACACACACACACACACACACACACACACACACACACACACACACACACACACACACACACACACACACACACACACACACACACACACACACACACACACACACACACACACACACACACACACACACACACACACACACACACACACACACACACACACACACACACACACACACACACACACACACACACACACACACACACACACACACACACACACACACACACACACACACACACACACACACACACACACACACACACACACACACACACACACACACACACACACACACACACACACACACACACACACACACACACACACACACACACACACACACACACACACACACACACACACACACACACACACACACACACACACACACACACACACACACACACACACACACACACACACACACACACACACACACACACACACACACACACACACACACACACACACACACACACACACACACACACACACACACACACACACACACACACACACACACACACACACACACACACACACACACACACACACACACACACACACACACACACACACACACACACACACACACACACACACACACACACACACACACACACACACACACACACACACACACACACACACACACACACACACACACACACACACACACACACACACACACACACACACACACACACACACACACACACACACACACACACACACACACACACACACACACACACACACACACACACACACACACACACACACACACACACACACACACACACACACACACACACACACACACACACACACACACACACACACACACACACACACACACACACACACACACACACACACACACACACACACACACACACACACACACACACACACACACACACACACACACACACACACACACACACACACACACACACACACACACACACACACACACACACACACACACACACACACACACACACACACACACACACACACACACACACACACACACACACACACACACACACACACACACACACACACACACACACACACACACACACACACACACACACACACACACACACACACACACACACACACACACACACACACACACACACACACACACACACACACACACACACACACACACACACACACACACACACACACACACACACACACACACACACACACACACACACACACACACACACACACACACACACACACACACACACACACACACACACACACACACACACACACACACACACACACACACACACACACACACACACACACACACACACCATTGACCATTGGACGCCCATCATGATAGCGATGCTACAGCAGAAGCCATAGCAACTTGTGCTGGGATTGCACCATTCAACAGCTTGCAAGGCTGAAGAATTGACCACCACTATTCAGCCTGGTCTACACCACACAGCTTTGAAGTGGCTTTTTTCTGGCCAGTGAATCCCTACTTTTTGGTCTTTTTATTTTATTTTTCCCGCACACACATCACACCACATACTCCGGCATGCACTGGCTGTTGGTAACCACCCAGGAGAATGAAAGAAAAGTCAGGAAGAGTCTGAGAAAGAGAAGAAAGACGTGTGCGACCATAATCGTCGGGAATCGAACCCGCAACCTATCGATTGGAAATCGCTGCACATACCACTGCACCATATGGGACACACACACACACACACACACTCACACACACACACACACACACACACACACACACACACACACACACACACACACACACACACACACACACACACACACACACACACACACACACACACACACACACACACACACACACACACACACACACACACACACACACACACACACACACACACACACACACACACACACACACACACACACACACACACACACACACACACACACACACACACACACACACACACACACACACACACACACACACACACACACACACACACACACACACACACACACACACACACACACACACACACACACACACACACACACACACACACACACACACACACACACACACACACACACACACACACACACACACACACACACACACACACACACACACACACACACACACACACACACACACACACACACACACACACACACACACACACACACACACACACACACACACACACACACACACACACACACACACACACACACACACACACACACACACACACACACACACACACACACACACACACACACACACACACACACACACACACACACACACACACACACACACACACACACACACACACACACACACACACACACACACACACACACACACACACACACACACACACACACACACACACACACACACACACACACACACACACACACACACACACACACACACACACACACACTACTACTACTACTATAGCATGACTGCCCATTGGGCAATGTCACCCCCGGAGGGGGCCAGAGTTTGGAGTGCACCGTCATTGGCAGGACTTCTGGTGCCTCGTCAAATCTTGCTGTCGTCGGAAACGTTTCGGGCAATGCATGCAGATCAGCGGCAGTGATTCCCTATCGGCTGCAGCAAGACGTTTTCCACGGTTGCAGTTATGGCGGTTAAAACCAGCCCGGGACTTGAAGCAGCGATTGCAGCGTTGACAATGCTGGAAGCAGCAACTAGCGAGAGACGCCGTCAATGCCGTATCTGCATGTTCAGGGAGTGCAGGCTGGCAGCGATGAACTGCAAGCCCACCCTTACTACGGAACCATCGGCAGCAACTGACGCACTGTGCTGAACCACGCTGTTGGTGGACGGGAAGTTGGCGCTCAGCCAAACACTTGTGCCGTGCCTTGTCTTGAGGACGAGAGAAAGCCCGGTTGCAAGATGAGCAGAGTACGGATTTCTCTACTGCCCGAGGAGGCTGAAAAACCAGAACCTGCTCTCGCCAAGCTGACCGGTCTTGTGCGCAATCAAACCAGTTTGGAATGGACTTCGTGTCAGTAGCCACAACGTCTCTCCACCTACGCCTGGGACCGCAGAAGGGGCGCGCAGCCAACAAACGACCAAACAACAGCTGCAATGGGACACGGTCCTCCGACATCCGAGCCACATGACCAAGCCACTCTAAACGACGATGGCGCATCTTAACAGAGAGTGGCACTGGGTCACCCCAGTGACGACGTAACTGCGCAGACGTGATGCGATCGGATTGCTGCTGACTGCGAGGGATGGCTAATATTGTGCGGATGCAGCGATGATGAAAGGCATCCAAACGTCTACTATCAGCTTTCAAGGGCGTCCAGCACTCACCACACACACACACACACACACACACACACACACACACACACACACACACACACACACACACACACACACACACACACACACACACACACACACACACACACACACACAC